GCATAACCCCCAGTGAAAGTAAAGCCTGTAGGTCAACAGAGAAAAAAGTCCTTCACAGCTTTCCTAAAAGGCCTTTCAGGGCTCAATTTTTAGCTGCCTTACTGTGAAAAATCAGACCCACCAGTTTTAATGTTGGCTTTAACAGTAAATGCATATTCCCTGCTGGCTTTCTCTACATGACATAATTAGCACATCTTCAGGGTCTGTCTCAGTTCAGCATGGAGCAGGAGAGCTACATGTCCCGGATGATTTTTGCAAACACATCTCATACTCTTTTCCAGTGTGTGACTGCAAGACTGAACTCTTGCTGGCTAACATGTGCTGCCACTTGCCAAGGTTACTAGGGCAACAGTACTCAAACATTAATCTGCTGGTGAAGAAGCTGAGCTGAAGCAGGCTACATACTACTGAAAGTGACCTGCAACTGTGAGGGATAAATTTCAGCTTGTGATTTATTCCATTCACAAGAACTGTCAACTAAAAATACTGGTACAAAATGGGGTTTCTAACAGTGGTTTTTCAGAGGTCAGAAACACTCTCAAATGAGCATAGAAAAGGAGGCTCAGCAATAGCTCTGGACCAGCTGTACGACAGTGTTTACAAAGGACTGGGCATAACCCAGTACCTGTGCTCAAAAACTGCACAAGACCTCCGCAAAAAGGGCTGGGAGAAAGCAGGTTCAAGGACTCTAAAGTTCCTCTCCTTCTTCCAAAGAATGAAAGAAAATGTACCCAGTGTGACAGCATCCAAACTGCCAAGTCAAGCCAAGCTAAGCTCCTGCACAAGTTTTATTAAAATTCCTTTTTTTTTTAAACCCAAAAAGATCCTACCCTGCAGTGAGTGCTTTAAATACAGGCTGAATGTGGGTTTAGGGCTAGACCTGAGCCCAGTTATAATCTCAGCTTCAATCCACCAGTGTCTCAATGTATATTCATGAAAAAAGTCACGTGCTTTTAGCTCTCTACTGTCTTCTCATTATTGCTCTGCAAAGACTGACAGGTTTTCCCTTAATGGGAAATATCCTGCAACATATCTGCAGAAAGACCTGTGAGGCCTGTCTCCAGAGTAAATTCACAAATATCAAAACACAAAGAAAGAAGATCAGTTTCATTGAAGGAATGCTTAGTCCATGAAAACTTAAACCAAGTTTGACCATCCAACTTGACTGGATGACAGGGACACAGACACTTCACAGCTATGCTCAACACCTCCCCGAGAGGTCTGCATGGCATACAGCACAGCTTGCCTGGATGCTTCTCCTAGTCTAGTGTTTCATTTGCTCCAGAAATTCTGCGGGCTGGATCATACAGATTGCTCTGCTCATGAACACTGAGAGAACTGGTCAATTGCATGGATCAATACTGAGGCTATTATGCTCAATCTTTAGCGTTCCACAAAACTGTGGAAGCATCCCCTGCTAGAGGGAGAAAAGTGACTTTTTCTGCTGAAATATAGTTTCTGTACTTTACTACATTCCAAACCAGAATGTGTCAGTCCCATGAGACAGCTGGTAAGTGAATAGCATCCACTTTATAGCACATCAGCTTTACTTAAGCAAAGCTCACTCTCTCAGGAAAGATGATACAATTTTTTAGTTCAGCAGAAAAAGCAGCCACCATGAAGCAGTGAATTACATGAAAGCAGCAAATAATTCAATGGAAGACATTTAGAATCAGAGTTCAAATTTACATCTATGCCAGTCAGTCATCAAAAAAAAGCTTCTGCTAGCAAATAGAAGGAAAAAATATAGAATTTGTCATTGCATGATCTCATGCCACTTTGTGGACTTTGGGTAATACCAGATTAATCACAGTGGAACACATCAGCAAAGCTGATTTTAGATTGTTAAAGAGAAATGCATTATATTGGAGGTAAAAGATAGCCTCTTCAAACCGTTGCCTGAAACTCAAACTGACCCCCTGACTGGTATCACTTTGATATTGATGAATATTATTACTTAGGCTTTTCTCTACTGCTATTTCTTCCATTTCTATGTCCATGTCCTGGTTTGGAATAATAAATCCCTAGATTAAAAGGTCATCACTGAAGATCTTGTCTCATATTTCTGGCTTCTTCTCAAGCAGGAAACATCATAACCTTAGAAGAGACACTGCTCTAAACACAGTTTCCCCCCTTAATTTCAACACATACGGATTTCAGATAAATGAAAATCTAAATACTTCTCTGGCATCCCAACAGACACTGAAGTTTTCATATCATTTAATGACAAAGAAAATATGTTTTGGCTCAGGGTATGGAAAGCACTGAAATATCATCTGAATATCCCTCCAGAGCAAATGAACAAAATCTTCTAACACTTGGAGACCTTGCTGATCAGTGAATGCTTTATTAGTTTGCCTAAAAGTAGCAAAACATTTTCTGTCTCTTGATTTCTTAGGGAAAAATGGTACCATGCTGCCTTTCAGACAGGATAGGGGTGTACCCTAGCTTAACTTGTAAAGCTGAGAACTGACCATAGCTGAAACACTCAAATCTTTCATTAGAATTCACTTTTATAAATGAAATAACAGTTATACTGCTGTTCGATGACTATAGATGAGCTCCAAACCAACAACCACTAAAAGACTTCAGACAATGAGGACAAACTGTATCATTCTTATTGGATGCATCCCTACCCCATGGATTGACAGGTAAACCTTTTATGTTCTAAATTCAGATTGAGAGAAAAGAATCAAGAACTTTGCCTAACTGAGCTTTCATCTCCATCAGCTAAGTTTGCAGGGTGTTTTGGAGATCCTGTCCATTGCTGTAGCAGCCTAAAAAGAACTATAAGCACCTCCAGGTGATACTGATTTTTGAGAATAATCCAAGGGGTGTCTGCACTTCAAGTGAGGAAAGCATATGCCTTATCTTCAATGTTTCTTTGAATCATGATAAACTTTGAAAATGCTACAAAAGGGGGAAAAAACCCCCTCCAAAACAACAATGCAAAACCCCACAAAAACAAGCAGAGTTTATAACTATAAGCTGTGGGTATAAGGCATATTATCAGCTGCTGACCTGATAACAGGCTATCACATGATATTGCTGATTATTGTGTTTGTTTTCTGCCTTCTTGATTCACCCAAAGGTGTTTCGTCTGCCAGTCATCTGAGAAAAATCAACTAATCTTTTGGTTTTCATTAAGTTTCTATAGTAAAAGAGAGACAGTACTTACCTGCCTCAAGTTTAGACATTTCACTTTGTCCTTGACCAATGAAAGTTCCCAGACACACACAACTGAGCTTGTTCCAGACGTGATTATGGTAGTTGCTGAGGGACACACAGCACAGAGGCACTTTCCCCAGTCTGCCATGCACTCAAATGTAGTCACATTCTGTAGAAGAAAGCAGCTTTAAGTCAAAGGATCATCTGGTGATACCGTGGATTTATTAATAGCTAATGGCATTTTCACTTTTCAGAACTGAGCCTCCATTTCTTCAAATCCAGGAAAAAAAAAGCTCACCTTAACCAGTCTCCATGCTCACAGCACAGCTGCCTAACGTGTACATGCACAGGCTGAGGCTGCATGCAGCTGTGCCATCCTCTTGGGGCCAAACGAAGGTGGGACAAGGGTTGGTGTCTCATATCTAGGAGACCAGAGTCCCAATCTGTCTTGTACCACAGACTTCCTACATAACTTCAGGCAAGTTATTCTCCCATCTTATGGTGACAGAATTCAAACATGCAAGGTAGATGAAAAAGAAAGCTCAGACTGTAATGGCCACTGCTAACAGAGTTAGTGCCTGGCTCTGCAACACTCCTTTTACTTGGATTGAAAAGCCCAAATCCAGAGCACTAAATTCCATTCTGTGCCAACGTCTCTGTTCGCAGCACTCAAAACAGCCTAAGCCACGGTCAGGTCTATTACACATTGCAACAATTACAGCATGAACATCCTTCTGTTCACATTCTGCATTGGCTACCTCCCACACAAAGGGGCAACACTATGGTGTTAATGATTCTGGTGGAGCTGGACCGAACAGCTACAAAAACCATCCCACAGGCAGAATAAACCTTTACCTGCTTACAATGAGGACAAAAATTTCTTTTAAGGTCACATCCAGAGGTACTGTTAACCCAGAGAGAACTCAAATTGGACTCCCAGCTACTCATAGTGATTGTGTATTCACACTCACTCTGCTCAGTGTCACTAGGCTCAGTGACACCCTGACTTTTGACGAGGCAAAACAAATAATTTATACCTACAGCAGCACTATGAATTGCTAAGGACTGGTTTTAATTGAAATTAATGGAGAAAACTCTCAATAATTTTATACAGGGAGCAGAAAATAAAATACATCTCATGGCTTTTTTCCCTTCCATTGACTGTGGGTATGACTAAAATCCTAATGATATCACTTGCACAAATACCCAACTCGGTATCTTGCTGAATGACGTATTCTGCTATTATGGTACCCAAGCAAATTCAGATGTCTTTGCATGTCATAACACTGTCACAACACATCCAAATATCAGTGTCTTTGTGGTAGAGGGAGAAACCAGATCTGCCAGGTTCCCTAACAAGCAGTGTGATGACAAAGACCATTGATTTTTAACAGCAAAAAAGTAAGAGTATTAACTTTCTAGAACAGAAGACATTATTATTTTGAATGAATGTACTGGGCTAATCTTGGGAGCCAGAGGGGAAATGACAGATGGTCCTATCTTAATCCCAGCAGAAAGTTCTGCACAATGAAATTTCTAATCAGTGGTCACGAGACCTTGAATTGTCCACACAACCTATGAAATGGAATTTCTCCTTAATTTTGATAGACAATAGAGTCATTGGAAAGAAAACTTGAAATAGTTTAGAGGGGAAATGCCACATTTTTTCAGAAGTGTATAATGACATTGTGCTGTTGGGATATCCTCAAAAGGTTGACTGTGAGAAAGTCCTGTACAGCATCCTCTGAAATCAGCTCCCCAGCTGCCTCTGAAATGGGTGCCCAAACCAGATAAAGACCACACATGTCATTAATTTCTGGAATGATTAGACTTTTTCATATTTACCTTCTCAGACCCATAGTTGCCAAAGCAGCAGGTGAAGTCCTCAAATCCCCAGCAGAATGTTTTGCTCCAAAGAGGAGGAACCAAAACTTTATTTTTTGGGACAGCGAAAATGCCTTTCTCAGTATGAACAATGTGCCCAACAGGTCCCTTGGGATAGTCTGACAAGACAGAGAACAAATTTAATTCTGATGTTTTTAGAGAACTTATGTTAACTTTCCTCATTGCACAGCTTGTGTGGTGAGGTTGGCAAGGCCCACAAATGGGCTCAGTGCTGTGGCTAGGCCCACAGAAAGAATTCCACTTTACAGCTGAGATTCCAGACAGAATAGTGGAAACAATATTCTACAATGGGCCAAATAATTCTGTGTAGTGGAATTGAGGTGCTCCAAAGGAGTGGGTTTAATACCAGTGCCATTAAGCTCCTTTACACTGGTAGACTGCATTATGCCACGCACCATAGAGGATGCTGGGCATGTCATCAACATGTCATGATGAAAATTTTCAGGTTTCTTCACGGTAAGAAAAGTAACAGACTATGAAAAGGATGAAGAAAAAGAAAAAAAAAATTGAAGATCAGGAAGTGGACAAAGACAATATTTACTTTGCTGTTGAATATAAAAAGAGAGAATGATAATGGAAAACAGTGAGATTTATGTTTCAATTTAATAGATCCAGAATTTAGAAGAGGGAAAAGACTTAGGTGTCTTATAAAAAAATCTGTTCTGAACAGATGTTTTACAACAGAAGTTTCAAGATTGCTCCTATTTGAGTGTTTTCAATGCCCACTCACAATACACATATATACAGACAACAATTGGCAGAAGGGATCTTGATTGTACCAACTCATACAAAACTTTATGACTATTTTTGTGCTCTTGAAAATCCAGATTAACCCCATCCAAGAAAGCTGCGCTTATTAGCTCAGAAAATGGGGCACAGCCCCTGCAGCACCTTTTATTGTAACTGGCGAGAGCTTCAGATTTTGCAGGCTGCTCATAAAAGGAGGCAGAATTCCACCTGAGTGAACGGAAAGAACAGAATCTCTTCCTGATGAACTTTTCCCTTGGGCATATGAAGAGCTAGAACAAAGGAATGGCATTGAAAAATTAATCTCTGTTTGCTAGCTCATGCAGGGGAGACAACAGTTTAAATCCTTAACCCTAGACACAGGACTGTCATACATGAACCTCTTCATTAAAATAAAATCTTACCATTATTACATTTTCATCAGACTACATCACTTCTTCACAGAGACAAGAAATTAATCCCAGAGATCCAGAAGAGAGAAAAGTATAGATGAGACTCTGAGCTGCTTTTATTTGACTGTATCCATTCTCAGACTAGTGCTTACTCATGTGACTGTACTGAAGGAGCAGAACTCAGATTTGATGCCACAGCTGTATGGCATACAACAGGAACAAAGTGGAACCATACACACACGTATGTGGGTGCAAGCTGATGTAGTCCACAGTACGGAGAAGTCTATAGCCCATCATTCAGCAGACTTAAATCAGAAAATGTCTCTGATTTAAGTTTCTAGTCTTGCTTTCCAGTTGAAATACCACCAGATCAAAATAAATTATGCTCTCTATTCTCATGACAAAGTGGTACCTGCTTGGGTATCTGTCCGAAGTTGCTGATAAAACCCAGGATGGTGCTCTTAATTAGAGGATCTTTAATGTTGTTGAGATCCATCTTGTCTCCGTAGAAGTAAGGGTGATAGGTGTTAACTGCCTCCACCGCAGCTGAGCCGTGTTGCTTGTGGCCAAATATCAGATCTATCCAGCAATGGAGGTGTGCACTGACATAGTCACTTTCCAGAGCCTGAAATCAAAAGGAAATTAATTCCGTAGCTTGTATCCATTACAAATGCATTATTACTTTTCAATCCCTGCTGGAAGCTTAAATTCTTTGGAAGTGAATCTTCACACTTTCAGTTCCTCCAGTACCATCATTCTCAGCGCATTCTCACAAAACGTGACCAAAGACATGAAGGGTGGATCCCCACAGGAAAAGAAAGGACAGAGTGCAGCATGCTGGGCTTAGCAGACACCAGAAGCAGTATCCTCAGACAACACAGGCAGGTTCCACTAAGTAAAGTTCAAGCACTCCACAGATCGTGGCACAACCTCCAACTTCCAGCACACGTGAAAGCCTGTGCTATCACATCGTCACCAATACTCTTACTGACACAAGATGGTTTAAGTGATCAAAACACTTGTTAGCTTTTGGTACCATCACTTTGCTCCACAGATAAACTACAGATGAATTAAGGTACAAGTCTATATTTAGAAATATGCCTTAGCCATGGATCACACTGAGTAGCAGAGCTTTTGCTTGAGAAGACACACATAAACAGTTTGGAAAGGGAGATGACTAGCAGAGGGGCTTTAAGTTAGGCATGAAGGGTAGAGCAGGAGAAGCTGCATGCCATGAACCAGCAAAGAGAATATAGAACTTGCCCTGAAATGTCAAGTAGTATTGCAAGCCAAGACAAGGAAGGGATTTTGCAATTGCAGAGTTGGGTACAGCAGGGCAGCTGTATGACAGAAGCTTCAAGGCCACTTGGTTTTGATCAAGAAATATTTTGCTATCATCACAGGGCTTAAGCAGAATTGCAGCACCAGATTTCCTCATCCTGGAAAAACACAAGGTCTGAACTCTTTTCCCCAAAACAAGAAATGGTTAACTTTGATTAGATTTGTCACTCATAGTGACAGGTGTGTGGATTTATGGAACCAGAAGAAACAATTATTACTGAAGAAGACTGGGAGAGATGCTACAAGGCAATACATCCACCCCAGTATGGGCTTCCTAGAAAGCTCAATGTAGTCATAGTGGAAAACTGTGCTTGGAAGATCCAGGCAGCAAGTTCATAGGCAGTGCACACAAGTATGAGTTGAACCTTTGCCCACCTCCAGGTTAGCCACCCTAATCCATGAGGCTTCACTAAATGCTACTGCCCCTGCCATCACCTGCCTCACCAAATTTTTGTGCATTCCCAAATGGCCTTGCCCAATGATTCAAGAAGCAGCATTAAGCATTATTAAAAATACTTTCCTATCTCCAAATTATTTGACTGCGCAATACTCCCTGATGCTCAGTTAAAGGTCTCCCAAGCAGACCATCCCACCCAAAGCACAGCAGAAATAAACAAGCTAATGGGATCGAGAACAATGGCTCATTTCACAGAGCAGACAGCCCAGTGCAGCTGGTTTAAATGACCCTGCCCACAGCTATAATGATCACAGGGCAGCTCAGAGAACAAGCACAGCATACAATCTGTCCCCTGCAAACAACAGGAAAACACTTATGAACAGACTCAGAACTCATCCTCATTAATAAAAGCAGTTAGTCCATGAATTACAAACTGTAAATTTTGCCTGGCATCACTGCCAGAGCAAAACAAAGCAACCAACAGAGCTGCAACTGTGCAGCCTTTCAGTATTTCACTGAGCACTATGACAAGCCCAGCCAGGGAGGGAGAAGTTGCAATCTCAGGAGGAAGTAAATAAATTTCTTTAATAGACTAGATTCTTAACTTATTAAGGATGAAACAGGCAGCTACTCACAGTTTTATGTCAAGAACAATTCTTTGCTCTCATATTCTTTAAAGCAATAGCCAAACCTCAGAACAGTATTGATCTGGACCTCTTTAATGAGCCAAACTCACTGTGAAGCCTCCTATAAGTGGCCATGATAAAAGTAACAAGTACATCCAGTCTTGTGGATGATTCCAGAGGAGACAGAAACTCTTATGTTTTAGAATTCAAGTTCTCTAGCTCTTCGCTTTGGGGGTAGATGAACTTTCCTAGGCAGGCTAATCAACCTAATTTCCAGAAAGATTTCTCACATCCTCCTGTGCTAGGGTGCAACATCTAGTACTAGCTATGTTTGGAGGGAGAATACTGGACTGACTGCATGTGAAGTCTGATCAGGTCTGGTAAATCACTAATAACACGCATTTATAAACATTATCTTTCATTTGCTAAACTGCTCCTATTTGAGATTTGAATTAATTTGGAAAAGTTGTGTGGCTTTATCAGCTGTGCCAATGTTATCAAATAGTGCAGCTCAGTGGAAGCAGATATGTAGAACACAACAGATGGTAGAGAGGGCCCATTATCCACATTACGTGCACTGTGGGGGCTTTTCTTCAAACTAGATCTAGTCTGCTCCCACAGGCTGAATGCCACCAGCATCTGGAGTACACAACTGGAGCGCAGTTTTTGGTTTTGTTTCAACCAAAATGAATCTAGTTCACACAATCTGAGATCACTTTACAGTGAGAGCAAAACCATGATATACAGAGAAGATTGATACATTTATTTCCAAAATGCACCCTTATTCTGAAGCATGAAGTGAAAGCAGATGTTCCCCATTGTATCTAAGCGGCTTTGGAGTGCCCACCATTACACAAGTAGTAAGGAACACAGCTCACTACTTCATAATCCAAACAAAACACAATATAAACCACAGCATTTCTCCCTACATTTTTCTTTAAAAAACATGAATGTAAAACTGCAGCAGGTTTCAAGCATCCATGGATTTCTGTCTGCAACACTGCTGTTAGGGAAGGACAGTTCTCTTTCACTTGTTTGGGAAGCTGGAGAACAAACACTAAGCACTTTGGAAGCTCACAGAGAAACCAGAAGACAGAGCAAAGGAACCAGAGCGCCCCAAAACTTACATGCTTTCATTGGAGTCACTGGGGAACACCAGGAAACTATTGCATGCTTGACCTCTGTGACCAAAACCTATTTGCAGCGGGTAGCACTGAGTTGCTTCCCTGCAAGGACTGGGCACTTTGTAGGCTCAAATCTTCATTTTAGCAAGGACTCTACTTTGAGCAGCAAGCCTGCAGTGCACACAACACTTACACAAGGATCTCCTTCCTCATAGTAGATGTATCATCGTGTGGTTATGGGCACTGACAGAAACTCACTGAATAGTGTTTTCTTTCCAAGTAAGAACAAAAAGGCAAACTTTCAAATTTTTTTATGTATTAAAATCCTCCTCACATAATTCTAAATTTGGAAAAACTACATCCTTGAATTTTACTAATAATGAAGCTACATACCATGCAATATATGGCCTTTGAGGTGAGGAGAGGTGAGAAAAACCCACTGAGGCAGAAACTGAAGGTATCCATGACAAACCAGGATGATGTAATGCCTTGAAAATCATGGACTATTTGTTTAGTCACACCAAAGCTAACACATATAATCATCACACTTCTTGTAGACAGCAACAATCTGCATGCACTCACAAATACAGATTGACTCCTTTTGCCACAGGAATTCTGATGAGATAATGCAGGGACATTATAGTACAGCCCATTCCTTTTTTATCTCTAACATGCACCAAGACATTCAGCGACAAAGTCTGCATTCAGTGCAACAACCTTTATACAGAATTGTCTCTGCACTCACTACTACATAGCAGGTGACATCGTACAAGACTTTAACTATTAATCATGGAATGGTTTGGGTTGGAAGGGACCTTAAAGATCATCTAGTTCCAGCCCCCCTGCCATGGGCAGGGACACCTTCCACTAGACCAGGCTGCTCAAAGCCTCATCCAGGGATAGGGCATCACAGCTTTTCTGGGCAACCTGTTCCAGTGCTTTGCCACCCTCTCCATGAAGAATTTCCCGATATGTAATCTAAATTTACCCTCTTTCTAATTTAAACCTGTTACCCCTAGATAGCACTGATTGCAATAAGCAAGCTATTTGCTTTCAAATTGCCAAGGCCGACTCCATTAAATGCAGGAAATCACATTAGATTCCACACCTCCTCATCAAAATAAAAATAAGTGTAGTCCTGGCATGACTCAGAGATGGAGGTAAATAGTTTAAATAAACACACAGAGGGCTAGCAAAAATACGGAATTGTATGAGTATAAATGCAATATGTATCCATTATTTTATGTTCACATACACTTCTGGGCTGAGAAAAGTTCATGACACTGACCTAGATACAAACCTCACCTGGTTTGGCTTGATTCAGGGTGAATTTTTAGGCAGGCAAGTAGACATAGTTCAGAATCCAGCACGAACAATGCAATGGCAGGATGCATTCAGATCTAACATTTTGGTTTGTGACTCTGTCCTTCAGAGTTTCATTTTCAGGGGGACACAGTTCAGCATGTTGTCATAAATCTTGATATTTACTGACCTGTCTGTGCAGGAGGATGAACTTATGGGGGTCCCCATCTGCCCAAGGAGGAAGTTGCACATCTCCCAGCACTGTTCCATCCTGCATGCAGCCTGCAGGAATTACAAAGGGAGAATTAAAAACAAGAATATCACACATTGCAAATAGAAACAGCTTTCTAGAACACTGAAATCAAAGGAAATGGATGTGATTTTCACACATGCTGCTTCAGGTTCTGCATCAAATACAGTGCCATAGAATGCTGCAGAACCTATTTCTGCTAAGAATTCTGATATGATCTAGTAATAAAGCACCAAGATGTTCTAGTAACTGTTGCTAATACAGTAAAAATATGCACGTCCTCAGCACAAACCATTTTAACACAGACTGCAAACTCAGACAAGACAAACCTGTTGGAACAACTTTTTATACGTAATCCCTTGGGACTAACTGCCAGATATTCATACTGAAGCAGCCACTGGCAGGAATTTTGTTCCCAAGTCC